TTATAAAATATATTTCTGTGGTTAATACTTATTTTTGTGGTTTGAACCACACCAGTGTAGGCATATATTAAAAATTGGAATTTGTGGGTTGGATTTACTACAACACTTCAAGCTCAACGTAGACTAATTTTTTGTATTTACGTGAATAAATAAATATTTGGGGGCAAAGAACTAGGGATTCAGCCATCATCAAATTGGGTTTAGATATATTATCCATGATATGTTCCAACTTCTTTACCCAATAAACATTACAACTACACATTGAGAATATCTTTCTTATCATTTGTGGGGAGATGTTCCCAATACACGATTGTAACACTCTATGGGTAAGGATGTGGGGAGAATTTGTAGGTAGTAGATCCTAAGTGCATCAAATTACATTTTTAAAAGTCATGCAATCAATTATGTAAAAATAGTATGAAAAACTCAAAACATGTAACATAATCAAATGTTATTAAGAATAAACCTAAAACTGTTGTATAATATTCTCCTTTACCATTGTTTCCATGATGTAAATGGTCGTCACTATTCTAGTAACAATATGACAATAGAGGGAAATGAAGTAATGACGAGATATAAGACAACAAATGAAAGGTTGTGGCGAGGGAGGGGTGGGGGTTAGAAATTCAAACGTGCTTAGAGAATAATGTAATCGCTTCTTCGAAATATAATGATTGGTGTAGAACGAATATTGGACATATTTTTTGGGGCAAGATTGATTATATCCAAGAAAAACCAAATGACTTTTTTCAAACAACTAAAAGAGAATGTTACATTTTCTTTTGATATAGTTTCCTTGGTCGCGTTGAAACCCCATCTTAGGTACATGTAAGATATGAAGAACATTGCATGTTTAGGTTGTAGTGAAAGAGCGAGATGAAAAGAGACAAATGGAAGAGCTCTGGGGCAATTAGGTTTCCAATTAGGAGACAAAGAGAGGGAAAGCGGGTAGCATAGCGATGGGATAGCAAGAGAAAGTGAGGTGGGTGTGAAGCAACAAAGTCGAAGCATATGCTCAAGTAGGGTAATGTGTGTGATACCATTTATTTATATTATATCATTAAGTTTTTTTGTTACATTCAAAATTGAACTAGATACTTGATAATATATTCGAATTTTAATCAAATCATGTTATTGAAAATTCATTGAATTATTATTAAATTTGGATCAATTGGAGTTTTATTTGATTGAATTGAACATATCATTTATTGAATATGATCAATCCCTTTGCAGCCTTATTTGGACCCAAGGCTTAAAGTATCGACATGATATGCCCAATATGGGCGTATCATATCGTATTGTATCTTTGGGCTCTAATACGCCCGTTTATAGGTGTTTTATAAACTTTTTTTTTATTAAATAATATATACACACACAGAACAAATCATGTCATGTCTACGTAGCTATCTTTTCTCCCGTGCTATTTATCTATCTTGGTGTTATTTTGGAATTTTTATTATTAAAATTGAACAAAATTACTCAAGTAGTAATCAAGTTTAAGTCTTTAAGACTTTTGGTTGTGTATGAAGTGGGGCCGTGGGGGAGAGGGGGAATAAGTTTCAAAACTTAGGATAAATGGTAGTGGTGGCTAATCAAATGTGGACAACATCTAAGAAGAAGATGGTAGTATTGGCACTCGACGTCCTACATTTTGCTTTGGCGGTGGCCAGTCGATGCTTTAGCAGATGTAGAAACCCTTGAGCCAATAAATGAAGAAGATATGACACCTTATCTCTCACATCTCAACTATCAATTTTGTCATTTTTATTTTATTTTTAAATTTTAATGTATTTTTCAATATGCTGAAATAAGATAGGACATTTGATGTTTGTTAATTTTCTTGCCTATGTGAAATGCATTCATGATCTAATGCTAACATGGCATTGTGCAGTTGGGAGTGTATAAATTTGTGCATTACGCATTTGTACAATAGATCCAAACTCATTTAAAACAACCATTCCAAAATTTCAGTCTATTTATTTTCCTCTCTCTCTCTCTCTTTTATGTTATTACATAAGTTATCTACTAAGAAAAAAATTGTTGCATTATTATCCTAACATTTTCTAGCTTTTTAAAGGGTTTGTCATTGAGGAGCTTATTTATATAGAGTTTCTATATTTCTCAAACTTTTATACAATCCTTATTTATATCTATACTATTATAAAACGTACAAATGAGGGTGTAAAACTTTTATTGACTAAAATGCCCATATTTGTGTATTTAGTCCATCTCATTATGAGGGTTGAAAATATAATTTCAATTAATGCTCTTCACATCATTTAATCCCTTCTCATTAAATCTATATTAAGGTATTAACTCCCATTCTCTCTTATTAAATCCTATATTTAACTTATTTTTTCGCTAATTAATGTTACTAATTAGATCTATGTCCAATATAAACCCATATATTTTAAAACTTACTTGAAAACAAAACCATTATTTATCTAAGTGATGATTAAGCAATTCAACCATTAATATAAAATTGGTCAAGCCATGAAGTCATAGTAAAACAATAAAAAATTTAAATAAAATAAATATAAAAAATTACAAAAATATAAAAAAAGTAGACACATTTATGATATTTTTATTAATCAAATTAAAAAAGTGTAATAAACAATAATTATTTTTATTGATGATGAAAATAAAATACATAATCTAAAACTAACAAAAAATTAAATTATTTTCCTATTTGGCGGAGATCAATCATAGTTTTGAAAAATGGGTTAGACTGGGTAGTCAAAGCAGTTGACCTGATAATCGGTTCCATTTTATCCTAAAATTGTTCCTATGCCAAAAGCCGTTGACATGTCTAGTGACTCACTGACCTAGGCAGTCAAACAATCAACTTGTCATCCTGGACAACGATATTTGACCATTTTTTATTTTAATTATTTATTTTTTAAAATCAGAATGAGCCGTTTGTTGAAACCAAAGAATGGGACATTTGACTCGGGAACTGGTGGTTAAAATGGTTTCACGTTCAGTCTGGTTTTGAAAATCTTGAGATCAATAGTTCAACTGTTTGGTCAAATATGTCAATATTTAACGTCATGATTAAATAATAAAAGTTGCACCTTTTTATAGTTCACTCCAACTCAAAATTCATTAATTAATTTCCCAAATCATTTATGCCCACCCTCTATAAACCACATCCCCCCGTGAATTGGGAATCTTTCCCCTCTCGACACTAACTTTAATATTTGATCGCATTATGAATCCTAAGGTGGACTGAATTGAAATTACACTTAGAAATTAATAAAATATAAAAAAATACAACTTGAAAAAAGTACATAAATTTTACAAAAACACATTTGGACATGTATAATATCATATATTTATTATATTAAACAAAAAATATGTGTACATAACTGAACTATTTTTATAGACATGAAATAAAAAAGTTATAGAGAAAATTGAAGACATCTATAATTATGTATTTACATTAATATTAAAAATATGAATAAATTTGTGGAACATTATTTTGATTAAAATATCTATTATTGAATTTAATCCCTACTTAATTGTGAGGTTTAAAATGTTATTTGAACTTATTTTTCAACTCACTTAATTCCCGCTCCTTAAATCTTAAGTTTTTTTTTTGATAAATGAAAAAAAGAAATACACTAAGAAAATAAAAATATTACAATAAGAAGAGTCCAATTTAACTGGTTGGCCTATTAATGATATCCAGAACTTTAGGTCCCACCGTGAAGTATATGAAACCTACATCTAATTAATAATAAAAAATATAAAAATACATGAGTTTTATAGAGAATTGTGGATATATTATTACTGAAAATGGAAAGTTATGAATTATATAAAAAATTTTAGGATATATTTTACTAAAAATGAAAAATTATTGATTATTATTCTTTTATGATCAGCTTGTAGACGATGAAGATCATTTATAAAAGGATGGTTTTAAAAAACGACCTAGAAATGAAACCTCTTTAGCAACTGGTTTTCGGGTCAATGGTTCAAATGGATGGCCCATCCATTAATAGGTCAATAATTAATGACAAAAACTGGTCAATAATAAAAAATAAAAATAACAAAAACCCTTTAAACCGGTCTATGGTTCGACCACTTGAATCAATCAGTTATTGACCAATTCAATGATTTTTGACTGAGGTCTAGATTTGGGGTAAAACGGAACCGTTTGGTTGTACGATTCCCGAGCCAATTTCACACAACTTTTTTACGATTCCCCCTAGACGCTACTTTGCTGTTGGCCTAGGCGTAGCTATCGTGCTTCTCTTAAAACCAACATACCAGTAGTCATATCTTTTCCTAGGCAAAATCGGGATATGTTCTCCCGTGACTCCTCATCTCGAGGCCTCGGGCATCCTGACGTTGATTCGATTGTGGGTCCCCTGCATAATAGTCATCAGATTAGAATCTACTTAGCAACATAATGCATCTCCTATCGGCATAAATATTCACCTAAAACCAGTCCATCCACTTGTTAAAGCTGGTAAGCGTCCTTTTCTTGACTCACGAGCTCCCAACCACATGGCAGCTATGTAACGGGTCCACGTTATCATAATACCACCTTGCAAGCTGCGGACCAGAATCCAGGTTGTCGCTTCTCAGATGGACGGTTCAGATCAGCCACATCACCCTTCCTTGAAACCTTCAAAAAGTTAAGTGATTTGTTCATCATGCTATATACCTTTACCACTGGAAAGATCTAACCCCTCTTTCTTGTTGTACAATTGCCTACCCAAATGACAAAATTATCCTCCTCTCTTACGCCCACGACTACACAAACCATTAGGACAAACATACAATTTTGAAGGTATTGCAGTAAATATAGTCTGCCAGCCCAAAAGGACGACAGGCCCAAATGTGCAGAGGTAGAGGCCCACATATAGTCTATATTATTTTAATTTACAGTTTAATTAATAATTAAAAATCCAAAAAGGAAAATAGAAATTTTGAATAATAAAAGTTTGTTGTTTTTTTATTCGATGCACTGGTTGGTCTAGGCAGCGCGGGTTTAAATGTAAAATAAAAAGAAAAGAAAAATAAAACGAATGCTGTGGGGGAATTGTTGTTGTCGTTGTTGCTTCTGGTTTTAATGGCGATGGAATCCAGAGGCAACGAGGTTGAATCCACACTCATTACAGAGAAAACCCGCGAAAAGTTATTCGATTTTCTTCGTCTCTCCTGCGATCGAACATCTCTAATCTGTAAGTGAAGCGAGTTTCATTCCGTTTGTCTTATTATTTTAAAATATTTTCGCCCATTTTTGGAGCAATTCATGTTTTTAATTATCGGAAATATGGGTGTCGAGAGCTAGGGTTTTCTTGGCGGCATTTAGCCCGGTGAATGGTTTTTGAGATTTCTAGGGTTTTTGTTGGAGCTGCAGATCTTTGCATCTGGTGATTGGATTTGTGGCGTTTGCTGGGAAAATCTGTCTAGGGTTTCTTGAAGGGATTGTGGGTTGTCGAGTTGGGATTTACAGCTGGTGACTGATTTACAGTGTTACGGCGTGTCATCCGTGTAGATAGTATCCAATTTCTTAATCCTTCCTCTGCTTGTACAAGTACCGAATGATTGAATTTGAGAACTCTTCGTTTCTTTAGTTAGTTACTTGGCAATGACATTGAAATGTGGATGAGTTGGTTTGGCTTGGTTTGAATGCTTTGGGAATGAAACATAGAGAACCTTTTTTGTCTTGTGTTTGGTTTTGCTTCTTGTTTTTGTTCCGTTTTTATTGTTTTTTGTTATTCTGTTGATCTTTTCAGGTGGTGCAAGCTCCTGTTTTTAGTGACTGCGTGTGGGTTTGCAGCGGTTTGAATAATGGCGGACTCGGTCGATGCCATTTTGGAATTTTTGCGAAACAATAAATTTACAAGGGCCGAGGCTGCCTTGCGTGGGGAGCTCAGTAATCGCCCAGATTTGAATGGTTCGCTTCAGAAACCCATCTTGGAGGAAAAGGACTCTGGAGATGTTTTGGAAGGAGAGAAGAAGGACAAAGCGGATGTGAAACACCAAGGAACAGGTTCCCGGAACAGTATTGAACTTTCTAAAGAACTTATTGTAAAAGAGATTGAATGTGGAACTAGAAATGGGTCTGAGAACAAATGGAGAAGTACTGCTTCTGTTGGAGAACGGAATAAACCTAATGAATCTGCTGGGACAAGTAACAGGGGTTTCTCTTTCGTGCGAACTTCTGAAGACACTTCAACAGATCTGTACCCTTGGAAATTTAATTCCAGCAATGGTCCTTCCGATCCATTTGAGAAGGATGGTGATGTTACTATGGGTAAGTTTTCTGAACTTCAAATATCTGAACAACTCAAGTATCACCCACAAGTTTCTGATAAGGGGACTTCAGTTATTGGAATAGTGAAATCTGGAGATAGCTATGGAGCCGAGTTGGATTTGCCAGGAGAACAAAGGACATTGTGGGTTGGAAGTACAAGTAAAGCCAATGCTGAAGTCAAATATGATAGGAATCAGACAAGTGATCACAAAGAAATTGATCTGCAGTCTAGACCTGTTAGTATGTACCCTAGATATAATTTGGAGAATAGCCTATGGTCAAATAGTGAGGAACCCCCAAAATCTTCTTCAGATTCTTGGAAGGAATGCTCTATCAAAACTGTTTTTCCATTCTCCAAGGGTGATGCATCAACAAATTATGATATTAGTCTTCCTTCTGGTGATAATAAGAAGGAAGGAAAGAGGAAAATAGAGTCCATTGATATCAGGGCAGCATTGAAGGAACAAGTGGATGGGGTAGGAAGATCTTTATTTTTTGGTAAAGCTCAAGGAAGTCCAGACCAACTGAACATTTCTAGCATAGAATTGCCACTTGTAGCACAGAACCATAAGGAGGAGTTACCAAGGTTGCCACCTGTTAAACTCAAGTCAGAGGACAAGCCCATGAACATTCACTGGGACGAAAAGTTTGATCGACATGAACCAGGAGCAAAGCTCACCAATCCAGACAAGACATTTTCAATAGGATCATTTCTGGATGTTCCTGTTGGACAAGAAATCAATTCTTCAGGTTTATTCTTGAATACTTCAGATTATATTCGTTGGTTATTGAATGGATAAAGCATGCCTCTGCTATCTTCTCAATGTGTTAACTTAGATAAGCTGGCATCTTTTTGATTAGTAGAAACAACCTGACTTGGAATGCATTAGAGTTTTATTTTGATCAGTAACGTTTCAATATATTTATTCATTTGAAGTAATGCATTGGATTGTTGTATGCTATGAAATCAATCTGATAATCTCACATGCCTCATTTGTTCTTTCAAACTGTTTCTATTGTTGCTATTTCTTTGTTTCATTCCTCATGTTTATCATATCTTCCATGTTTAATGACCGCTTATTTGGAATTCTCCTTCATCATGAACTAGCCTGAACATGTGTTGATTTACATGTTCTTATAGATCTCCTTTTCCTTGAATAATCTGTTGTGGGAAGTATCTAGGCACCATTAATAACTAGAGCATATCTGCCTGGTTTGGAAACAGCCTCTCTGTTAATAACTTGAGCATATCTGCCTGGTTTGGAAACAACTTCTCTGTGTATATGTAGGGGTAAGGCTGCGTACTTCTGTCTCCCCCAGATCCCGCATTGGTGGGAGCCTCATTCACTGGACTACCCTTTTGGCTATGTGCCTGGTCTTTTGCATGTTATTGCATAAAAGGCAACTTGTTGCACGATATGGTGCCATATTGGCAGTTCCATATCAAAATGCTGGCATTTGTGGTCATCTTGAACAATGGCTTCTTTATACAATATATTAGGCTAGACTTCTTGTTATCTCAGGTGAACATCTCATCAATGGATCCCAAGATCAGCCAATCCTTTGGTTGACACTGTTGCTTGAGGTGTAGATAGGTTGGACTTTATTGGAGGCAGCTCTTCAAATAAGCAGGTAGATGCCAATCAAAGGACTGATAAAATAGTCCAAAATAAAAGAAAAAGAGATGGGTGGTAAATATAGAGTGAAAAAACTGATGCCAAATACCTATAAAAAAAAACCTGATGCCAAATCCTCATTGTTCCACCAAATGATGTAAAAATGGATTATGCTAATCCATAAGGCTCCGTTTGGTTTGTGGGATGGGGATGAGAAAAAGGGAATATTCCAAGGATATTCCTTTTTCTTTCATTTGTTTTGAGGGAAATAGAAAGATGGGATGAGAAAAATGTGGGATGTCAGATCTCAAAATCATGGATTTGGGGTTGCATGGCACCAAACCGTGCGACCCCGGTGGAAAAATTTGAGAAACCACTGTTACCATCGAAAGAACCACTGTTACTGGCCGCCTTCTTCACCTGGAAAGGAATCAGTGCAAGGGGCAGTTGCGATCTCCCTCCATCTTCCTCTTCTCTCTTCTCCCTCACCTTCTTCCTGTCTTCCAGATCTGTGGCAATCTGCGAGGGGCACTCCTATTCTTCCCGTCTTCACCAGATCTGCTTTCTCAACTCTTTCTGCTGCAACTCATGGAGTTCTGTTCTTCAACTCTCGGCAACTCTCGCTGCTGCAACTCATGGAGCTCTGTTCTTCAATTCTCGGCAACTCTCGCCGCTGCAACTCATGGAGATCTGCTTTCTCAACTCCGGCGAAGAACCAGCCCGCTACAGTGTTTTTCCTATTATTTTCGCATATATAAAACCAAACAATGGAACGGTAAATTTTTACATTTTTCCATCCCATCCCATCCCATCCCATCTTTTCCCATCCCACTCAAATCTTCCCACAAACCAAACGGAGCCTAAAAGTGCCATGGGTCAAATGCAAGTTGTCCTATGCAGAACAGGAATTTTGATGGGATGCTGGTGTTAATAAATCTTGAAACTGATTTTCCCATTTTTGCAGAAAAAATCAATAAAAATACCAACCTTCGCCCAATATTCCTGAAAATTATGTAAAAAGAAAACAATTATATCCTTATAACTCAATACCCTACCCTTCTAGTGTCTGTGTGACTGTGTCATGTGATAATTGACTTTATTGATTTGAGATGTTCTTTAGGCCAATGTATTGGTTCATGCATGGTATTTCCAATTCGTATATTATATCCTTGATTATTAGTAACAGATATTTTCTCTATTACCTATGACTAGGTTGCAGTGTTAAAACATAAGCATGATAGATCATTATGATCTTAGAAGGGTAGACTTTAGGTTTACTTCGGTTTTTTCTGTTTGGGATTTATAGTTCACAATATTATCTTGATTATTTTATTTTGTATGTGTTTCTAATTTTCTGCTCTGTTCATCCTCTTTTAATATTGAACTAACATTTTATTATGGAAGTGATGGTAACAGGTGGAAAGAGGACTCTGGGAAGTAGTCGGCTATCTGTAAGTCAGGGCATTGCAGAAGATACTTCTGATATAATTTCAGGTTTCGCAACTGTTGGGGACGTAGTGAGTGAATCTGTTGACTATCCAAATGAGTATTGGGACTCTGATGAGTATGATGATGATGATGATGTGGGATACATGAGGCAACCGATTGAAGATGAGGCGTGGTTTCTGGCTCATGAAATTGATTATCCAAGCGACAATGAAAAAGGAACGGGGCATGTAGTTGTTCCAGACCAGCGGGAAAGGGGTCCAACAAAAGATGATGATGACCAATCTTTTGCTGAAGAGGACTCTTATATCTCTGGAGAGCAGTATTTTCAGGCAAAAAATATTGAACAGGTTACTGCTCCAGATGATCCTATAGGGCTTACGATATCTGAAGTTTATGGGAGGAATGATGAAAGTGATTTAATTGCCCAGTATGATGGGCAATTGATGGATGAAGAAGAATTAAATCTAATGCGTTCAGAACCTGTATGGCAGGGCTTTGTCACTCAGACAAATGAACTCATCATGTTGGGGAATGGGAGAGTTTTGAATGAGTGTGAAAGACCGCGGCCAGATGATCTCTGTATGGATGATGACCAGCATGGTTCTGTTAGATCAATTGGTGTGGGGATTAACAGTGATGCTGCTGATATTGGCAGTGAAGTACGGGAAAGTTTAGTTGGAGGAAGCAGTGAAGGGGACTTGGAATACTTCCATGATCATGATGTTGGTATTGGTGTGTCCAGGCATTCTCAACATGACAGAGATAAAAGATATGTTGATGGATCAAACAGGGAGAAGAGAAGGGCAAGTAAGCAGGATTCTGATAAATACATTACGAGGAATGACAAGGGTGCTTGTACAACTGTACCAAATTACACTGACAGTGGATTTTCTTTCCCACCCCCTTTGAGAGATGGGGACTTGCTGCAGGGAAATTCTAGTAAATCTTTGTGGTCTACCAAGGGCAATGCTGTGACTGGTGATGAAGTTGATGATTATGGGAATGCTTTGATGGGGCCTGATGACATGCTTGCCTCGTGGAGGAGGAAGAGCAATGATTCTTCACCAGGAAAGAGTTCCCGGGATGAAAATAATGCTAATGCCATAATATCATCAAACTCAACTGCTTCAACAATCTCAAACTATGGCTATACTGAAGAGGAGCATATCAAGAAAAGGGAGGATGACAAAGTCAGCGATGCGAGAGAAGAAGAAACTGGGACAACACTAGAGGATGAAGAAGCAGCAGCTGTGCAGGAGCAAGTGAGACAGATAAAAGCTCAGGAGGAGGCGTTTGAAACCTTTAATCTCAAGATTGTGCATAGGAAAAACAGGCATGTTTTGCTTCCAGTTTTGGTTCTATGATTGGGGTGGAGAGAGTAAGGGGAAAATATTGTACACCTGTTTAAATATAAGAGTTATTATTCATTGTATTCTAGCATAGACTGTTCTAGCAATATGCTATCCATGCTAGTTCAATTGTTACTTTTTGGTAACTGTTAGTGGATTTCTTTGTGAGAATCTTTCTAAGTTCCTCTTTCTCCATTTAGTATTATATCTATCTCACTTAATTACCCAGTTTCTTTTCCCTGCAGGACGGGCTTTGAAGAGGATAAAAATTTCCATGTTGTTCTAAACTCAGTGATTGCTGGACGTTATCATGTTACTGAATACCTTGGATCAGCTGCATTTAGCAAAGCTATTCAAGCACATGATTTGCATACAGGCATGGATGTCTGTGTGAAAATTATCAAGAACAACAAGGATTTTTTTGATCAGAGTCTTGATGAAATAAAGCTTCTCAAATATGTCAACAAGCATGATCCATCTGACAAATACCATATTCTACGCTTGTATGATTATTTCTACTATCGAGTAAGTGAATGTTTCCAGTAGTTATTTTACCATTGACTTTTCATTTTCTAGGAGCATTTGTTATTTATTAAGTGTTTACTTTGACACATGTATCATTTTCCATTTTCCTTGTGTAATTCTTTTCATTATGGTTTGTACATCTCTCTGAGTGCTTAATGAATTGAAGGTGGGGCTTTTCTAACTGTTTCACTGACAATCTAATGCAAGAGGCCAGTGGTCAGAAGTCAGATATGGAATTTTCTGATATTCTTATGTGTTTTTTATTTTTAGATACTAGTGGTATTTTGGTCATTTTACGTGTTTTTCTGACTTTAGAATTCGATTTTTTTGGCTACAGTTTAGTTTTGTTTAAAGTTTCATAATAATTGGTAAGTAGTTTGGGAGTTATCTAGTTTTTCTAGTTCTAGTGGGATTGACTACCCATATAGTGCCTATATATGCGTACAAGAATGTGGTTATGGATATTTTGAGTGTAGCTTTTCTTATTATTGCTATGCTGAGTGATTCTTATTAGCCCTATAATGATTATATTCTAGGGCTGATTGAATTGTTTTAGATTTTGGTCTTTATCTTCTCTTTAATTCTTGCAAGCAGCCATTAACAGTCCATAAATTTACATCAAATTCTAAACTTTTCTATTTCAGTGTTTTTGTCCTTTGTGCCTATTAGTGGAAAAACTTTAGTATAATTTCTTATATATCATAATTCACCCAATCAGAATGCAAAACGTTTCTATTTCGGTGTCCCTGAATTTTTAAAAACAACTTATATGTATCTTACAAGATGGTCCCACATGACACAAATGGGCCATCTGTTAAGAAAACATTTAGGGACATTTGATATGGCCATTAATTTCTTTATAATACTTTTTTTGCCGTTCATTTTCGGTCCTTCCTTTACTCTTTATATTTCATGAATAAGGCTGTACATGGCCTTTCTCCATACACAAAATAATGATTTTTATGAGCTAATATGGTAAGAGGAACCACAATTAGCCATGTTCTATGAATAAGGCTGTAGATGGTTTTGCAAGGTGCCAACCGGCTGTTTGGTAAGGTCTCCTGCTGGTCGTAGCGGAGACTTGTGGTCGAATCCCACCTGCACCTGGGTTGTGGGGGTTATGGGTTGGGGGATAGGCTACCCCCTGTGACCTGTTGTGTAGCCCTTCAGAAGATATAAAAGAAGATTAATTTCTAAAGGCTATAGATGGTTTTCTCCCTCACACAAAGTAGTGATTATATGAGTTAATATGGTGTGAGAAACCATAATCAATAGTGTCATGAACAAGGCTGCTTTGGTGTCAACAGCTTGGGAGAAAACAAAATGATAGAATCTTCAATGACAAGGAGAGGGATGAGGTTGCTGTTTGGGGTTGTATAATTAACAAGGCTATAAATTGGGTTAAAGCATTGGACTTGTTCTCAAACTTCTCCTTTGGTGACATTTGGAGAAATTGGGAACTAGTTGCAACTTGCAAAATGCTCTACTGTCACGGAAAGCCTGTAGTAGATTGGAGGCTGCATCTTTCACCTCTTTGTGGGAAGCCTTTAGTGTGTATCTCTCTTTTTGAATTTTAATAATACAACTATTACTTATCAAAGAAAAAGGAACCATAATCAGCCAAGTTTCATGAACAAGGCTATAGATGGTTGTCCCTCTTGCATATGATTAAATGTGAGACTTGGAAGAAAGAAGAAAAATAAATGAATAAAGAAAGAAAAGGTGACATATTCATCCTTCTCACAAAGTAGGTTGTGGAACTCAAAAAAAGGAGACTGCAGAAGTATCTTAGTGAAGAGGCAGAAGAACATTGAAATCCCTATCTTCCTCTCTCTCCTTTCTTATTTGTTCTTCACACCACAATTCTCTCCTCTCTCCTCTTGTTTGTCTCTTGTTGCTCGAAGTTCTATCAACATAATACCATTGGTGCTCTCTCCCACTAGGAGAAGGGCGGTGGTTGGGGGGTATCATAAGAAAACAAAAAGTTGTATGATTGCACTTTAAGAGATAAGAGATAAGAGATAAGAGGAAATTAACAACCATTTTTCTCTTAAAGTTAAAAGATTCTTCTTAAGAGATAAGAGTTAAGAGGAAACGAACAGGACCTTAGAATGGTTTAAAGAGGGAAAATAATTTCTCTTTATGATTAATTTTCACAATTAATTCTGCTGCCCTTTGAACTTGGCTCTACTTCCAGCCCATTAAATGTCAATAAGTTGTTTTTAAGGCCCAAATGCCCTTTTAAGTTAATTCAGGGCCTGCTGTCCACTTAAATAGATTGCAGGTCCCTTTTTTTATTGAATAAACTACTACTACATCCCATCTATATGATTGGGCTTAGAAGACTATATTAAAAAGAAAGATGCAAAATTTAAGGCTTTAACAGTGCCAAACCTTCTCATTGTTTTCATTGGGTTTCTAGGGATGCTATTGGGATGGCTGATTTGTTAGCTAGACAGGGGATTGTCAGGGAACAATTATTTTGGGCTCAATTGTATCAACTTTTATCTCATAGGGGTAATCATACCCCACTTGTTCATCTCTTTACATTTTTATTTAATTTAATGAAATGATTCCTGTTATCTATCAAAAAAAACCTCTGATTGTTTTCATATTTAGCCCTTGGTAGATTTTTATCATCTTCAGATGGGTAAACAGATCTGCAAATTCTTTTGCAGACTCCCTAGCTAAACTAGGGACCTGCTTTTATGGGCTTAATTTGTTTTTCATAAGTCATAGATGTTATATTAAAGATCAATAAAAACAGTTACACAATGATGGCTTCCCGCAAAGAGGTGCGAGATGCTGAAAAAGATAAAACTACAATTGAATTGAGCCCAAAATAATTGATTCTTATGCATCCCTTTGTTAGCTAGTAAATCTGTGAACCTGTTTGCCGAGATCTCCTTTCCCATTGAATTCTAACTGATATACTTGTAGTTATCCACTTGAATTTTTGCATGGCCCTCCTATAAGACCAAGCCACTACCTCTGGTTCCTTTATTCACCCAATTACCAGTTTAGAATCACTTCAATTAGCAAATTTCATAGCTCAGCTTTCTAGCAATCTTTGCTCCCTGTAAAACTCCTTGGACTTCTGCAATTTTTCTGGGCTCACCTGGGCTCACTTGTACTCTTTAACCATAGGAAAGCTAGCTGATGCATGAGCATGCGGGGCCTACATGTAACCCTACTAGTTGCTGGGTTCCTGGAGGGGGCCAAGTTAGATATAGACATATAGTCTCGGACTATATCTGATATGTGGTAAAAAGAGAGGCAAAATATCACAACCAAGGAGAAGTTCTTGTAGCCCTAGCTGACTATCACCTTTGCCCACAAGTTATCTCTATCCATTGGCAGTCTCCACAACCATTTCCCCAACAATGCCATATTTCTCTCTTGTATATTCCCAAGACCTAACCCTCATATTTCTTACTTCTACATATCATCTCCCAACTTACCCTATGATCCTTCCCCTCCGCTATCTCCCACAAAGAATCCTTCCTCAACTTACCCTATGCTTCTACTTAACCCAATGGGTATCCTAAATATTGACAAGTAGTAAACAGGTAGGGGATCAACATCCACCTTGTACAGCCCATTGCACCAACCTGCTAAGCATTTCAACCATGATTGTGCAGAGCAATGGTGTCAGGGGATCACCCTGTTGAAAGTCCCTTTTGCTCTCAAAATCTGCTTTATGTGAGCTATTGCTTAAAATAGAGAACACCGTTGACGATAAACATGTTGAAATCCACCATCTCCCATTGACTTCAGAGCCCAATCTATGAAGGATGTACTCAACAAAACTCCAAACATCGTCTTAGGGAACCATGTAAAATTTCATATCCATGTATAAAAGCACTTTGAGATGGATAAAAGAAAAAGATAAGAATCGGCAGTTTCCTCAATGTATTTGCCAACACTATGGAAATCACCTTATAAATGCTACCAATTAAATTGATAGGGGGATAATCCTTCATGTCTGAAGAACATTCTGTCTTTGAATGAAAGATACGAAGATGGAATTAGCTGCCAGTGATAGATTTACTTGATCATGAAAGTCTTGCATCACTTCAATAAATTCTTCTCTCTAGACAGGCCTACATTTCTTATAAAACACAATGTGAAACCCATTTGTTCCTGGTGTTTTATCTCCATTGAGGTTTTTGCTCTTCTTCCAATCTTCTCTCTCACCAGTCTTATTTTGCTGGTCAATTTTGATGAAAAGCAATGCTTTCCATCTTGGGCCTTGTGACATCACGAGTCGCAGATAACCTCTTGTAAAAATCTACAACAACCTCACTAGCTTCATCCTCCCCTTCATAAGTATGATTACCTATCTTAATTCTTGAAATCAAATTGAACCTTCTTGTGGTGTTGCAGTTGCAATCCTTATGAAAGAAGTGAATGCTTTTATCACCATTTTTCAGCTGTTGTACCTCCGATTTTTGGTGCCAATATATTCTCAATGTATGATAAATGGCCAAATTCCTCCCTGGCTATGTTTCAGGGCTACCCTCTTCCTCATTTAGTATTGAAGGCTACTACAAATCTAGTTCTTTGATTGCTCCAACATGCTTTCCTTCTATAAATGCAGCTCAGCTCCTGTTTGTTTAAATTGCAAATTCTCCATGAAACAGTGGAAAAACAGAAATAGAATATTCAACAACAAAACCTCCTTGTATATGGCAGTCTTGAGAAGATTTATTGGCACGATATCATTGTGGCTATCAGTCAACAAGGAATTCGGGGAATCCCCATACTTTTCTCATTTTGCAATGAACATTTTGTATATGAGTTGTTCATAGACTACTGATTTGAGGGTAGTTTTTCTTTTGTCTGATATCTGATGCTGTAAGGTGTTTTCTTGAACATGGGCTGATTTGTAGGTAGGACTGCAACTTAGGGAGGCCACACTGGGCTTAGGGCCATCCTAGCCCCAACTTTAAAGGTGCCTAAGGCCTGAGCCCGAGCCTATTCCGAGGTTAAGTCCAATCTCTTAGGCCCAATCACGGTCTAACCTAAACCAATAAAATTCCAGGCCTATGTTGGGCTGGGCAGATTTATTAGGCCTATATACATAATTACTGATCTATCATAAAAATGAAACAAATTTGTTTTAAATGGTTGAAGAGTTGCTTATTATAGATTAGTTTAAAGTTCAAATGTTCAATTTCTTTTAGTTGAATATTTTGACATTTTATTTGTTTTAAAGCTCAGCCTGACTCAAGATTTTGCTAGGCCTGGGTTTTCAGTGCCATGCCCAAACTGAAGCTTGAAAATTTGAACCCAAGCTAAGAACAAGTT